AAAGAAAGAAAGAAAACAGTTCCTTTATAATTGAGATAACGTATATAAAAGTGGTTCGTAACCTCTGAAGCACAACACATTTGACATTGTCATCATTTATGTTTGCCCTGAAATGCACTCTTGGAGCCCTGCTTTGTACCGGGACACCGGTGTGGTTTCTCTCCAGGGAGCTAATCACACCAAGCCCACGGCATCCCAGCTCTGTATATACATGCCCAGCTCCTCCATTTGCACACAGAGAGCATTTCTGAATAAATCTTCCTGGAGAAACTTGCTTAGCTGTATTCTCTCTTATCTCTCCAGTTCTGAATGACATCATCTCAACCATGTTCAATAGAAAGTTTATGGAGGAATTGTTCAAACCCCAAGAGCTTTACTCCAAGAAGGCCCTGAGGACTGTCTACAACCGCCTGGCTCATGCCTCCATTATGAGACTGAACCAGGCCAGCATGGATAAGGTGAGCAGACATCTGCCTCTGTCATCTTTATTGCTTTTCTTGTACCTTTTGTGCATGATCATCGACTGAGGTCAAATGAAATGACGTACACAATGGTGCCTTGTAAGAAACAGGCACTTGTAAATATTGGTTGTTGAGTTTCAGAGTTGGGAAGGATCACCTCAGAAGTCCTCTGTACCAACCCCTTTGTTGTTTATGTCATTCTCCCTGCCCAAAGAGAGTACTGGTTTTCATGCCCATATTTTGTTTTGTTTTGTTTGGCAGCTGGCCAGTAAGGGGATCCAAACCCTTGTCCTTGGTGTTATAACACCTCACTCTAACCAGCTGAACTAACCAGCCAGCCCTTGTTTGTGTTTGCTAATTGTTTTATAACCACAACAAACTAGTACAGAAAATGCATTGTACAAAACACAAGAAAGTTTCAGAATCAAGGTGTTCCTTTAGCAAGGCTGAAGATTTCAGTCTCTGGTATTTCGGATTTAGGCTACAGTCCTTTTTGGATGGATCACTGGATATGTGGCACAGTCCATGTTTTTAATCAGATTTGAGCAGAAGAATGGCCACTCGGCCCAGGTGGAAGTAGATAAAGTATTTGGTTGCATGTGTCACATAACTACCGAAGTTCCTTCCCACATTGCCATGCCAGGTGGGTTGTGCTTCTTGTCACACTCCTTCCTGAAATGGGCCACAGTGTCCTTTTCTGTGTTATATTTCTCCAATGCCTGAGCAGCGCACTCCACCGAGTTCTATTGCATCTCTTCTGACATGTCTAAAATTTCAATTATGGCTTTTCGGTGACACATGGTTATTGTGGAGCAGGGGCTGGCCAACTGCACCTATCTCCTGGGGGAGGTGCTGGCATGGCTCAGGCCCAGCGGGAGCTGCCATAGCTACTGAAGCCCTGGTACATCTTCATGGCCACATTTATGAACCCCAGAAAAACATGTCTTAACCCAATACAGGCACTCAGCCCTAAAAACTATAACTCTGCCTCACTCTTAATAAATCTCAGCTCTGCAATGATGAAACCCGGCATTTTTTAAAAGCAAATTCAAAAAAGTTCAGTCTACTTATAATGTGAACATATCTATTTATTAGTGAAACAAATTATTGGGGCACTCTGACTTTTAAAATAATAATTCCATATAAATAAAATGTAGAGGATACAAACATCCATTCAGAAAAATTCCAAATAATTTATGTAGTTACTCTGCCCTTGAGGGAGAGCATAACTCTCCACTCCTTAAATGTGAGCTGCACTTAGCAACTTCCTTTCAAGGAGTATAGTATGGAAAGGAAGGAAAAAACAGTTAGCTTTACAGCGGAGAAACCTGACAAACTACCTCAACTTGGTGGTCAAAGTTCACATCAACAGTGATGAGTCGTGTTGATAGTATTTACCCTGACACGATGTGATTAGAACGGCACTTCACCTCTGTGATCTTCTTCCGCAAAACCCATAACCCCAGTCTACCCATGAGAAAAACATCAGACAAATCCCATTTGGAGGTCATGCTACCTGACCAGTACCCAAAACTGTCAAGGTCACCAAAAACAATGTTGGTTTTGTTTGTTTGTTTGTTTGCAGAAAAAACATTGTCATATACACACCGTCAGACAGACACACAGACAGACACATAAACAGAAAGACGCACAGACAGAAGCACGGACAGAGAGACACACAGACAGACAGACACACAGAGTGTCAGACACACAGAGAGACACACTTAGAACGGCACTTCACCTCTGTGATCTTCTTCCGCAAAACCCATAACCCCAGTCTACCCATGAGAAAAACATCAGACAAATCCCATTTGGAGGTCATGCTACCTGACCAGTACCCAAAACTGTCAAGGTCACCAAAAACAATGTTGGTTTTGTTTGTTTGTTTGTTTGTTTTGGTGGGGGGGGGGCCAGTGCTGGCCAGAATGGGGATCTGAACCCTTGACCTTGGTGTTATCAGTACCACTCTCTAACTGCATGAGCTAAATGGCCAGCCCACCAGAAAGAAGGAAAGTCAGAGAAACTGTCACAACCAAGAAGAGCCTAAGGAGACATGATGACTAAATGTCATGTGGTGTCCTGGCTGGGATCCTGGAACAGAAATAGGACATTAGGGGGAAAAGAATGAAGTCTTAATAAATATGGACTTTAGTTAGTTTAAAAAATAATAATTCCTTTGAATTTTTAAAAACCATGAAGACTGACAGTGGGCAGTAGGTGTGCAAAAATCAATGCTCACTTATTACTGGTAGCTAAAGGCACAGACTGACTTTAACTTTGCCCTCTTACCTGAGCCTCCATCTTCTCCTCTAGAATATGAAGATAATAATAGCTATTTCATCAGTGATTGCAAGGGTTAAGTGAGAAATATACCTAGGACTGGCACACAGTAGATGTTCAGTAAATGTTAATTATCTGCTCTGCTCTGCTTGCCCTTCTCTCTCTGCCTTTAAGAAGGTTTAGGTTTTCATAGAGAAAGGACACAGAATTTGGAATCAAAAAACCAAGTTCAAGTCTTAGCTCTATCAGTTACTGGCTGTGAGACCCAATTTACTGAATAACTCAGAACTTTGATTTCTTCATTTTATATATTTTTTTATCCTTTATTCCTAGCATGGTGTCCTACACACAACAGGCACTTGATGTTTGATAATGATGGCGGAGAGTCTCAAAACTATATCTCTAGTATTACATGCCTCCTCCCATCCACCTCCCAACACACACACCAAGCCATTCCTGTTGTATGCCCCTTTCTAAGTGGAAATGTTTAGCTGCATGTTGGAGAAATGGGATTGTATAGAGGGTTTTAGAAAGTGCCTTAGACTCTGACAGTCCTGGGTTCAAATTTCACTCTGCCACTTACCAGTTATGTCAAATTAATTAGACAAGTTTCCTTATTTTAAAACTAGGATAATACCTACGTTATAGAGTTCTTGTAAAGATTAAATGGGATCAAATGAGGTAATGTACGAGGGTACTTCAAAATATGCATGGAAAGATTTGTATCATATTTCAATTCTATTTTTCCATGAACTCCGGCAGACACTCCTCATCTTCTTCCAAGACCTGCACATCCGAGTGAGTGAGTGGGCAGCCCTGGGAATGCCCCGCAGCAGCTGTCCTAGGGAAAACAGGGTGCACGTCATCTGGCAGATAAGGGTAGACATTTTGCCCAGTTAGGGATGTCCTCAGGGTTTAACTCCATGATGATAAACATTCTGATAATAAATCTCAGCAGTTTTGGAGGGTTTTGTTTGTTTTTATTTTTATTGAATCATAATTGGTTATACATATTTTGGGGGTTCAATGTTGACATATGTTGGTCAAATCAATATTACTAGCATATATATATAGTTACAAATTGTACTTATTCTTTATGCCCCTTGTCCAATCTCTCCCTATCCCCCTCTCCCTCCCCCCTCCCACCTCTGATAACCCTAGATTTCTTCTCTCCCTCTGAAAGAGTAATGGTTACTCTGTTGACTTGTTGCCTAGATGATCTGTCCAGTGCAGAGAGGTGTGATCAGGTCCCCCAGTATTATCGTAGAGCAGATGCTTCTTCTGTCGCTCTGGAATGGACTTTGTGGAGAGAGACATCCTTTGACACACAGAGAGAGACACTTGCACACATAGAAACAGACAGAAAGACAAACAGACAGACAGACACTCAGACAGACTCAATGTCTTACATACACACAGGCAGAAAGTAACAAAGACAGACAAACAGACAGACACACAGACAGAGGGACACAAAGAGTGACAGACACACAGAAAAACACACTCGCTGACATACACACCCAAAGACACACAGACAGACACAAAGACAGAAGGATACAAAGACAGTAAGACACAAAGACAGACACAGTGCGTGACTCTCCTTGTGTCAATGCACTCCAGTGGCTGGTGGACCATCTGCACAGTGGTTGTGGCGTCTAGCCACTTTTGCGGCAGCCGTGGTTACTGTGATGGCTGTGGTGGGCCACCCACATGGAGGTGATGTCTTGGGCATGCTTCTTGGTGCTGGTGGTGTGCCTGGTTGTGGGAGCAGGATCTGGTCCCTGGCTCGATACCTCAGGATCCCGGGTGGCTCTGAGGCGCTGGCGGTGTGCCTCTCAGCAGTTTTTAAGCCAAGGAAGATAATGATGCTGCCATTCTTTCCCAGTTACCTTATGAGTTTCTTTGAAATATGGTTTCTTCCCTTGCTTCTCCCGAGAAACTGTGCTCTCAAGTCACCAGCTGATTTCAATTCCAAACCTTTTCTTGCGCCTTATCATCCTCGACCTCTCCAGTATCTGTCACTGTCAGGAAACTGCCCTCCTCCTCCAACTCTCACCTTTCCTGGACTTTCATGGCTCTATCCATCCTGGCCTTCCCTTACCTCTCCCATCTCAGTGCCTTCCACTCCTTCCTCTCCTTCTATCTGTCTCCAAACCTTCCTCCTTCTAACTCCTCCCACCCCCTGCTATTCAGTGATCTCTTGCCTCCCCTTCTGACTCCTGAATGTAACCTCTATCCTACCCTTGCCCCACCTCTGCACTCCAGACCCACATCTCCACCTGCTTGCTGAAACTCTCCAATGAGGATGCCCACCAGTGCCTACAACTTAATGTCTGTAACTAAACTAAGTTCCACAATTCAAGTGCTGCCCCGACTTTCTGATTTCTTTTGAGGGTACTACCATTTCCCCACTCACTTGGATCGGAACCAGAGTGTCACCTTTGATTTCTCTTCCTTGATCTTCATCCAATTGCTTCTAAGACCCACAGAGTCTGCCTTTTCAATATCCGTGACCTCCTTTCCATTCCTCTTGCCACCAGCCTAGCTCAGACCTTCGTACTTCTGCTGGCTATTGCCTCCCAACTGGCCCTCCCAGTCCTGCTCCAGATAATTCTACACCTTAACTTTTTTTTTTCCTTGGGCCACTGCCACTGGCTGGTAATGGGATCTGAACCCTTGACCTTGGGGTTATAGCACCACACTCTAACCAGCTGAGCTAA